TTTCCCCTGACAGGATGGTGGAGCTGATCGGGGTAGACTTACCTCGGATCGTCGGGCCAGGCTCCACTACTCCGGCTTTGAGCGTCTCCAGACGCTGGCTATACCTCTAGGCCCCCAACACTTACGCTAAATACAGGCGGGGAGAGCTGACAGCTACTCAGGCAGCTAGGTTCACTTTGTTGCTGCTGTTTGCTTTTGCTTTCGACTTTCTGGAATAGGAAGGAGCACTTTAATCCTTCCATCTTAAAAAGTTTAGAAAACCTAGCTCACCTCAAGGATTACGACTGGGCCGGCGCTATCCTGAGTCGCATGTATGATGACATGTGTGGTATGTGTGGTCTGAGTCGAAGCCATTGTAAACTCAGTGGGACTTACTACTTCTGGGAGGTAAGAACGTTCTTCCTTTCTCTTTTCATTTTAATTTTCATTTTCATTCATCATTTTCATTTTTTTTTTTTTTGACTTTTTGTTTCTTCCTTTTTACAGACTTGGGCATATGAGTACTTTCCCTTCACTCACCCAGAGCTAGTTAATGCTGATCTTGGATTGGGGTTGGTACCCTTGGCTTGGAGATGTGGTACCGGCCAAACCTTCATACTGTTCAGCACAAGAAATCCCTAAAGGATCTGAGAGCCTTTTTCGATACGTGTAGCCTGGCGCAGGTATGTGTTTAATTATTCATGAATATGTTGAATAAAAAGGATTTATTAACATATTTGCGTTTTCTTGCAGGTGGAGACAAGGGCAATGATGACCCGCCTGCAGAGCTGGATTTAAATTGACCCCCAATTCCAGCGGTCGGATGACTTGTCCCAGCGGAGAGTGGTCTTGTCGCACCCCGTCCTGAGACGATACCCATCCTGAGACGATATTACTTAGGTGAGAGAGTAAACGTTCAAATAAGAGGTTGCCGCTCTATTCCTTATTCCCCTCCCGAAGACATGCGAGCGGGGAAGCATATGATGCTGACCGATGTTCATACTGAGGGTATTCCGTATGTGGAGTTCACCCTGGAGGGAGATTATGATGAGTTTTGTAGAACTTTCCTGATGCAACCCATCGGATCCCGGCTTGATAGCTTTCAGAGATTGGTGCCTTCTCAGCCACTCGGCACCCGCTCTTCTCGGGCTTCGGGTCCCTCGACTAGGACTCCAAGGAGGAAGCCTATGACCGATCCGACCTTTTCTGCTCCGGTTGAGGGTCCCTCACAGGCCGGCCCTAGCCGATCGGCGCTGGGCCCAGCCGATCGGCCGGTCCTAGTGGATCGACTGGTCCTTCTAGGGCTCCCCGGGCTGTCTTGGAGGCTACCAGGCCGCTTCACCCAGATCTGGTCAATTTACGTCTTCCATACAATATTCCTTATTATGTTCCTGATAGTCCTCCTTCCTTTCGAGAGGTCTCCCTGGAGAATATAGATCGCGCGACTCTTCCTTCTAAGGACATTAATGAGGTAAAACCTTACATATCTCTCACAAAAAGGATTCGTAAGAGATTTGATGTTAACTCACATTTTTCTTTGTATGGTTTCCAGGTTCCTGACGGATTAAAAAGGATTCGTAAGAGATTTGATGTTAACTTACATTTTTCTTTGTATGGTTTCCAGGTTCCTGACGGATTGGTCAATCAGATGATGGAACTGGTTGCCGATCAGAGGAGGAGGAGGCCCCGTCGCTGAAGCCATGGTTGCCGGATATGTATTTTTTTTTCTTGCATTTCTGTACTAAACTTTTACTCTACTTCTGTGTCGAATTCTGACTGTACCTCTGTACTGTATGTCATCTGTACCTGCAACTAGTTAGTACTGAAATCATGTATGCATGTTTGAAATGAAAATGGGGTTTCACCATTTCGGATGTACTTTTTTTATTGGTAAACTTTTTTTTTTTTTTTATTTATTATCCCCTCCCCCTTTTTTTTTGTATGGCCGCCCCACCGTCGGCGCTGCTGCGTGACGTTTTGGCGGCTTGCTGCGCCCTCATTCGGTGGCAATTTGGCGGTAGCTGCCGCGCATCATTCCGGCGCATCTTCTATAAAAACAGTTTCTTTTGCTTGGCTCTTCAACTCATCTCTTCTTTTCTCTCTTTCTCTTCTAACTTCAAAGAATGAATCCCTTTTTTACTCACAGCAATAGATGCACAGCTGGAATTAAGAGTCTCCCAAGTCGAAAAAAGAAAAACTTGAAGAGGTATGGCCTCTCTCCTATCATTACCCTTAGGGGGGTAGTGATCGACTGGAACTTTTTATGGGCCTGTATCAGACTCTGGGAACCTGAGGCCATTAATTAGACCAAAACACACGTTTTCCGGTTTGGGGCCATGATGGAGGAGATGTGCCCTCTTTTTGAGTTTGAGGAATTTTGTGCTATCATAGGGTGTGACCCTAATGCCCCTTTGGTTAGGCATGAGGTCAAGATTGGGTATGTTCGGTCGTTCGAAAGCTTGTTTTAGTTCAACCGTCCTCAAGCTAGGGCCATGGTTGTTGGCGATCAGAAAGCAATTTTGTTGTCCCTGATTGATGAGTTTTCAGGGGTTTGTTCAGATGACCCAGACCGGATGAGACTAAGGATGCGGGCCTTGGTTTTTTGTTTATTGGCTGGCTTCTTGTTCAACAAGGATCCGGGCTTCGGGGATTTGCGGCTTTGTCCCATGGTTCGGGCAGATGGAGGGATATGGGGTGCATAGTGGTAATTTGTGCTGGCAGAAACATTGTGCTGGCAGAAACCATCAGGAGTCTCGACAGAGCCGCTTTAGGCTTTGAGGATTGGACGGTTTCTCCTATTATTCTTCAGGTATTTCTTCTTTTTCTATATTATAGATATATTTTCTTTTTCTTTTGGGCTGTCTCTTTGTAATAGAAAGGATCCGTTACTCAGGTTTGGTTGAAGTACCATCTCCGAGTGGTTGCCACTCCTACTTTGCTGCCTTATAAACCTGTCCAGTATCAGTATCGCATGCGGAGGATCTTGATCACACATCCGTCCACTGATGCATGGACCTCATGGCTAATTGAATTGGGTCCAAATGAGGTGCTGTGGTTCGTACCTTGGTATGGCATTACCCGCTTTATCCAGTTTAGCTCTCGCCACACTCAGGTTTACCTTCTAGGCCTTACCCATTGTACTTGGTACTGTGATTCGCGCGTTATGAGGCGGATGGGAATAGATCAGACTGTACCGATCATGGATGACTCGTTATATGATTCAACCATCACTCCGGGAGTTACCCGTGCTGTCCTTAGAGCTTGGGTTAGGGACCATCAGATGGTTAGGCCTTTACCTAATCCTGCTGGATCCTGCTGGTATTTTCAGACTTCTCCCAGAGTATCGGACCTGGTTCGCGAATGCTGTCTGGCGCGGTTTGAAAAAGCTGAGGAGACGACTGCTTGAGTGCATTGAGGGTTGGACTCGGCTGACTCTGGTGGGGGGTTTTAGGATTGATGAGGATTGTGTTGACTCCTTGGACAGGCGAGGCTGGAGAGAGTTCAACAGCTAGGGATGACTCGGAGGACGTTGCCCCACGGAGGCGACGGGCCACCTAGACTCCGATAGGCTTTATTCTTTGGTTTTGGATGTATTTTGTTTCATGGATTTTATATATATATATATATATTTTTTGGCTTTCTGCTTGTACTGTTTGGCTTTATTTTTTTATTGGAGTGTTGTTTGACTTTTAAGCTTTCCAAGCATGTTCCAACTTTATTCCTTTAAGCTCTAATTTTTGCCTAAGCCGCCCTTTCGGGTTTTCAACTTGGCGAGCTGGGTTTTCAGCTTAGCGGGCCCCGACTTTTGCCTCAGCCGCCCTTTCGGGTTTTCGACTTAGCGGGTCTTCCTTTCTTTTTTTTTCTTTTTCTTCTCTTTTTTTTTATTATCGGCAAAGAAGAAAGAATTATGAAATGCTTTTTTTTTATTAATGTTTAGACCGCGCCCAAAGAGCACTGCCTACATATCTCCGATATATAATTTCTTTTTTCCAAAGAGAATCAGGTCTAATGTAGTTCGTTTTACATTATGCCATGATTGCAATTACACAAAATATCTTTTTAGCTGAAACTGATCTAAATTACATGGATTTGCAAATTCTAAACCATCCAAATCAGTCAAAATGACGGCTCCGCCGGACAATACTTTCTTCAACACATAGGGGCTAGCCCAATGAGGACGAAACTTCCCACGTGGATCTTGAATTGGTTGCCTAATTTCCTTCAGAACCAAACAGCCTTCTTCCAGCTTTCGGTCTTTGACCTTTTTGTTAAAATGCCGCGCCATTCTCCTTTGGTAGACTCGAGTTTGGTGGATTGCTTGCAACCGCTTTTCATCCATACCCAAAAGTTGCAAATGATAATTCTTCACCCAATCTGCTTCGCTGATCTGACTTTCTCTAGATCTCGCTGATCTGGCTCTCCTGGATAATCCTTGCCGACTGAACTTCCAGCTCAATAGGCAATACTGCTTCCATACCGTATACCAACGAATACGGAGTTGCTCCTGTGGGCGTTCTAATCGAAGTCCTATATCCCCATAAGGCATTCGGTAGCTGTTCATGGCAAGCTTTGTGCTTTTTAGCCGTCTTCTGCAGAATGACTTTTATAGCTTTATTCGCGGCTTCTACAGCCCCGTTTGTTTGTGGACGATAGGGCGAGGACTTATGATGTTGAATTCTTGTTTCTTTCAACAAATTAGAAAATTAAATTAGAAAATTCACTCTGAAAGTGAGAGCCCTTATCTGTGATGATCTCGAAAGGCGTTCCCGTACCGACAAAGGAGTTAGTACGAAACGAACTGTGGCTGCCTTTTGGGCAATTTAAAATCGAAATAATAAGAAGCTGCCTCAATCCACTTAGTGAAATAATCAACAGCAACAAAGATGAATTGATGGCCATTGGAGGCCTTCGGGTGGATCTTTCCGATCATGTTTATGCCCCAAGTTGCGAAAGGCCACGGTGAAGCAATAGGATTCAAATTGACCGGAGGCCGTTTTTGAAGCTTAGCAAAAATTTGACACTCATGGCACTTCCGCGCGTGCCTCACGCAATCTGCAGTCATAGTCGACCAGTAATAACCCAGGTTCATAATTTTTCGAGACAGAGCTATCCCGTGCATGTGTGGACCGGACTCCGGCTATCCCGTGCATGTGTGGACCAGACTCCCCATTATGTAAGGAATCCATGATGGTTTGAGCTTCTCCCTCATCCACGCACCTTAGGTGTAAGCCATTCGAACTTCTCTTATACAGAACTCCCCCAGTAAAGAAATATCCGGATGCTAACTGTCTCAGTGTTCGTTGATCAGTCTTGGTAGATCCCTCCGGATAAACTTCATTCTGAAGATAATTCTGTATATCCCAGTACCAGGGCTTGTCATCCACCAAATTCATGAAATGTGCTGGCTGTTTCTGTAGCCGAACTGTGAGAGGTCGAATGACTCGGTCTCCTCCCACGTTGACCATGGAGGCCAAAGTGGCCAGAGCATCAGCGAACTGATTCTTGGCTCGCGGTAAGTAGTGGAAGGATAAATCTTCAAATTGTTGGGCCAATTCGTCCAAACGTTGTAGGTAAGGAACCAAACGCTCTTCTTTAATTTTCCATTTTCTCAAGGCTTGAGAAACTATCAAATTGAATCCCCCGAAAACCTTGAGGGACTTTTATTTCTTTTTCCAGGCTGCTTCTAACCCCTTTTATGCAAGCTTCATACTGCCGGATTCATTGTTGGTGCAGTTGAAATCTAACTTGACTGCGATTGGAAACATAATTCTCCCAGGGAAGTTTTAAAATACCAACGTGACTCCAACCCCATTTCCATGGTAGTTCGAAGCTCCATTGAAGTACATTTCCCAGACTTCACTTTCCAAGCTCAACAAGTCTTCATCAGGAAATTCTACCTCTAGCATTTCCGGCATTTGGTCTTCGACCGGTAATTCTGCTAATTGATCGGCCAAGGCTCCGCCTTTCACTGCCTTCCATTGTACAAATTTCAAATCATAAGCTATGAGCACTGACACCCACTTAGCCATCTTACAGTCAAGAACCGGCCTCTCCATAAGGAATTTCATGGGGTTCGATTCAGAAATAACGTAGGTGGTGTAGGACAAGAGATAGTGCTGTAGCTTTGTACACGCCCATATGTACAGGCCCAGACTAGAGCCAAGCACAACTTCTCAATCTTATTGTATTTTAGCTCATATTCCAACATCCTCTTGCTAAGGTAATACACGGCGTTTTCTATCCTTGTATCTTCTGCTTGTTGAGCTAGCGTTGAGCTAGCATTGCACCCATTGCTTCCATCGCTTCTTCTGTCACTGATAGGTACAACAGCAAAGGCTTTCCTAGCCCTGGTGGCTGTAAAACTGGCGGGGATAACAGATATTGCTTGACTTGGTCGAAAGCTTTCTGACAATCCTCATTCCATTTTACGGCTACTCTGTTTCTGAGTAATTTGAATTTGAAAATCGGTCCACAAGTATCGGCCAATTGGTTGATGAATCGGCTGATGTACTGTAGCCTTCCCAGGAAACCCCGAACTTCTTTTTCCGTCCTTGGTACTGGCATTCCCAAAATGGCTTTGGATTTTGAAGGGTCAATCTCTATGCCCTTCTGGCTGACCATATGCCCTAGAAATACTCCGTATGTAGCTCCAAACAGGCATTTTGCCGGGTTGAGCTTCAAATTGTACTTTCGAAGTCTAAGGAAGAACTTCTCAAGTGCGGTTGTGTGTTCGTCAGCTATTTTTGACTTAATGACCATATCGTCGACATACACTTCTACCCTTCTTTATGAATCATGTCATGGAAGAATGGTAGTTGCAAATTCATTTGATAGGTTGCCCCGGCATTTTTGGTCGGCATTTTTGAGCCCAAAAGGCATGACCCTGTAGCAGTAGATTCCCCATTCCGTGATGAATGCCGTCTTCTCTTTGTCTGGCAAATGCATCATTATTTGGTTGTATCCAAAGCAAGATCGGTCAAGGAGACCATCTCGTGTCCTGCCATTTGGTCCACCAACAAATCAATATGTGGTAGGGGGAAGTCGTCCTTTGGACATGCTTTATTCAAATCCCTGTAATCCACACACATTCTGACTTTGCCATCTTTCTTCGGCACTGGCACGATGTTTGCTAATCATGTCGGGTAGGCAATGGGTTCTATGAATTGATTTTCCAGCTGCTTGGCCACTTCCTCCTTGATTTTCAAGGACCATTCGGTCTTCAGCCTTCTTTCCTATAGCTTCTGCTTCACTGGCTTAAGCTCCGGGATATACTGGAATCTGTGCACCACTATTGCTGGTCATTCCCGTGATGTCACTTGCCTTCCACAATGAAAAAAAACAATCGGCAAACCTTCCTCAAACATTACTGACCTGTCCCTTGTTCACAACCAACAGTTCAAATGCAAAATGTTAATGTAATTTCATTTTCCTTCTTTGTCCAATTATTATTTTTTTCCTTTTCATTTTTTTTATTTCATTTATATGATTTTATTTTTGCTTGGAAATGCTTGGAAAGATAGACAGGTGGGGTAATCAATAACTTGCAAACCTTTATTGATTATGACGGAATCGTCTTCAAAGATTACATCAAATTTGAAATCTGGATTTTCAGAATCCGACACAGATGACTCAGGACTGGCACTGGACTCTGACTCGGTTTCATACTCAGGGTCAGACTCAAACTCAATACAGGACTTGATTACATATTTTGACTCCAGGTTTGACTCGGGAGGGGGTTTATCAGCAGTGCGCTCCTCCTCGGCGTACCAATTGGTGAGAGGCCCTTCGTTCGGCTTGATTAGGTTGAGCAGGTCTTGAACAGATCTTGGTCGCGCCATCATTTCCTGTAAATGACTTGCAACCTCGTGCAGAGTCTGCAGCATGAAGTCTTCCTTACTTTCTAGCTCGGGTATTGCCCTCAGACTTGTTAAAGACTTGTTACCCCAGACATCAGAAAATATTTCTAACCCAGGTAGCATTTTCTTGACGGTCGGGCAATAAAATGGTTCTTGGAAACCATGATAAGGGACTGTCTCTCCGGATTTGTGGAAGTGACTATTCAATGTTGAAAAGTGTAACGGCATCTGTATGCTTTTCTTCTTTCCTCTTCTAGTCTTCTCAGAACGGTCTTCTTCAGTAGGCTCATAACCCAAACCAAAAGTCCCTTCATTCACTGGACTCTCCCAAGCTTGTAATGTGGGGTACATCTTACCGGACCTTGCCATATTCATTCCCGGCAAATAGGACATCTTTAGCATTAAAGGAACTATGCAGTTTATTTGCACCGTTCCGAAATCAAAGAGAATTCGGGAGTTCGTAGTCTTTCCTTCTATGAACTGTTTTATGAACGTTGCACCGTGTTCATATTGAAAATGCCCGAGAGGGGAAAATAGGCGCTTTCAGGATTTGAGCTTCAAGAGGGGCCTGGCCCTTGGGTTTCTTGAGTTTGACTGTAATCATCTCCTTGAAACCCGTTTATAATCTTACCCTCGTAAGGGGAATTTGACCTTTGGTGTAAATTTGACCTTTTGATGCAAAGAGGAAGGTACTGCTTTGGTGTGGTGTATCCATGGCCGCCCTAACAGCAGGTTGAAACTGGTGGGCACATCAATGACTTGGAACAGTACCTCCATTATGGCTGGCCCAATCACTAATTTTAGTGTAACAACCCCCAATCCCGGACCTTGCCATATTCATTCCCGGCAGGTAGGACATCTTTAGCATCAAAGGAACTATGTAGTTTATTTGCACCGTCACGAAATCAAAGAGAATTCGGGAGTTCGCAGCCTTTCCTTCTATGAACTGCACAGTGTCATATTCAAATCCCGAGAGGGGAAAATTGGCATTTTGAACAGTGGATGTAAAGGGCATCGTTGTGACTGTCTCCCTGCCTAAGTCATCCTCAGAAAATCCGATGCTTTGCACCTTTGATGATTGGGTGAGTGTGGATACCAACACTTCAGGGCTGACTTCCACCGATGTTTGAAGTTGACTCAAAGCCTTGCAAAGAGCTTGGCGATGAGGAAAGGAAGATGCTAGAAGTTCCCAAATTGAAACCCTAGCTTGTGTCTTTTTCAACTGTGAGAACACTGGATCTTCCTTTGGTTCATCAGTCCTTTGGTAAGGGTTATGTGAGACTTTGTCCAAGACTAATGGTTCATACTGTCTCTCGCTTCTGGTTATAGCATCGACCTCCTCAGTCAGGTCATTCAGGTCTAGGACACAGATTTCGTTCATCCCTAGGAATAGGTCGAAAGGATCGATCAATTCCTGGTCAGAAACAATAGCATTTACCCCATGGTTTGGCAAGGGATTAGTGCTAATGTTGGGTTTGCTTCTGTTGATTTGTAAGGGAACTTAGTGCTAATGTTTTGGTTTACTTCTCGAAAAATTGAAACCATTATCTACCAAGTCCTGAATGCGGTTCTTAAGCGTCCCAGCACGCTTCAGTCTTATGCCCATTGTGCTTGGGTGGTGATCCAGTATTCATTGGGCTCGGTAGTTCCTTGGTAAGGGGTTGGGTGGTGGCCTTGCTTCCAAAGGCTTGATGTAGTTTGCTTTGACAGCCTCTCGGAATACCAAAATGATTGGCATGCCGAGATCAGTATATGTTCTTCTTGACGGGCCGCCATTTCTTATGTTTCCCATATTTCCCACACGTAAAGGATTCCTAGGGGTGATACTCGCCACTTCGTGGACTTTCCCGGGCTGGCTAGGTTTTTTGTATTTTGAGGTTCCTGAGTCTTCCTTCAGTTGCCCCATTTGAAGTAAATCCTCTACCTTCGTAGCAGTGGCAATGAGCGACTGAAACGTTGGACGTTGGTAAGGTATTGGTGTTTTGAAGCTGAGACTGGAAGATAGGCAAGTAAATTCTTGATTATTAATGTTCAACTTGTTCCCTGTTCAGAGGGTCGGTTTGATCTTTGTGAAGCTTTTGGCCCTCACTTCTCGTAAGGAACGAGGAAAGGGCTCATCTGTCATTTTCTGTTTGGTGGTTTCTAGTTCTCTTCGGGTAAACATTCCACCTCCATTGTTATAAGCGATAACTGTGAATTAATGCATTATCAGACCAAGTTTTCATTTTAGATCGGTCCAAACTGACAAACCATCTCAGAGCAGCGCCGGTGAGTGACTGTTGGAACAACTGAGCAAGGAGCTCGCTGTTCAATCCAAATGGGTTAAGGGCACCCACATACATTTTCAAGTGAGTTTTTGGTCAAGTAGTTCCATCGAATTTGTCCATGTTGGGCATTTTGAATTTGGTTGGCAGTCTTGCTTCGGGGAACAGAGACAAGGAGTCCATGTCCACCACTCTTTGTGTGTCTTGAGGGCGGTAACAGACCTTTCTAAGAGTTCTAGCTTTTCTCTCATTTTCTGAGCTTCTAGCTCAGAGGCAGTTTTGGAAGGTATTTCAGATAGCTGTAAATAACCATCATTAGGGAGCTAATTAAGGCTGTAACTGTAACCATAACTTAGGAGATCAATGGCATCCATTAGGAGACCATATTAGGCAATCAATTCAGGGAGCGAATTTAAGGCCTGTAATTGCCAGCCATAACTAGGAAGAACAATGGGCACAATTAGGGCCTGTAATTTGGGAATTATTCCCTAAATTTTGTGGATACTGTCAGTTAATTTAAACCCAATCAGCTTGTGGGAAATAGACAACCAAATTCCTATCAAAATTCCATTGAAAATAATGCAGGTTTGGTCATGGTATCAGAAGCCTAATTAGGCAATTTTAGAGCCTGTTTCTTTATGAGTTTCAGCTTTGTGTTTTTGAAGAACAAAGTGCGAATGCTGTCTTTAATTCTGCAGTTTCTGTTTCTGCTTTCTTTGTTTAGTTCATATCTTTGATGAACTCTCGGTCATAGAAATTCTGAATTTCTATTTGGAGGCTCTCTTCATTTGGAAGAGATTGTGGTGGACATTTTTCTGCAACTTTCTGGCTGTAGGATTTTCATCTTGGTGGGTCTGTTGCTTCTTCTAGTATACCTGTCCCTGGTTGTGTTATTCCTAATTTTGCATTTTTGGTCTCCTTGTGCTATTTGAGATGGCCACATCAAACACAGTTGAGAGTTTTCATGTTCGTTTCACCGGAAAAAATTATTCTTCATGGGAATTTCAGTTCCAGCTCTTTTTTCAGTTCCACAGTCTTTGTTAACAAGGAAAAGAACTATTGGCCATATAGATGGAAGTGACTCCAGCTCCTAAGATGCTAAGGAGTTGCTTCATTGGAAATTAGAGATGCAGAGTAATAATGGATTCTGGGTCAGTTGTACCCTCCTTATTGCTCTTTAAATTTGAGGTCTTCTAAAACTGCAAAAGCCATCTTGAAAAAGGTCTATAATCAAGACAATGCTGCAAGACGTTTTCAATTGGAGAGCGATATTGCTAATTATTCCCAAGGAAATCTCTCCATTCAGGAATATTATTCTGGTTTTCAGAATTTATGGGCTGAGTTTACTGACACTATTTATTCTAAAGTGCCTGCAGAATCTCTCCCTGTACTTCAAGAAATTCATGAGCAAAGCAAAAGAGATCAATTCTTAATGAAGTTGAGGTCTGAATTTGAGACACTTCGCTCAAATTTAATGAGTCGTGTTCCTTCACCTTCTTTAGATATTTGTTTTGTTCTTTTAGATATTTGTTTTGGCGAATTTACTTTCGTCGAAGGAACAACCGTTTTTCATTCCAGGACTTCTCTCCAAACAAGAAAATACTGTCCAAGTTGCTTTTGCTGCCCAAGGGAAGAGGAAAGGGTCCAAGGACATGAGTAGAACTTCAATGTTACTAGTCTTTTAATGAAGTTCAGGTGATGAGTTTATAAAGGACGTCCTGAGAAGTTGGTGCGAATTACTTCGCGAAGAACAACGTTTTCTCATTCAGGACTCTCTCCAACAAGAAAATACTGTCAAGGTTGCTTTTGCTGCCCAAGGAAGAGGAAAGGGTCAGGACATGAGTAGAATTCAATGTTATAACTGCAAAAATTATGGCCACATTGCTGCCAATTGTGGAAAGAAGTTCTGTAATTATTGCAAACAGTCAGGACATGTCATAAAGGAGTGTCCGACACGGCCTCAAAATCGAAAATCAAATGTTGTCCCAATTGCACCAAATAATCTCACTCATTTTGCTGCTCCAACAGTTTCTACAACTCCCTCTTCAGCTGCTGAACTTGTGATTCTTACTCCAGAAATGGTGCAACAAATGATTATTTCAGCCTTCTCCGCCTTAGGACTACAAGGTAATGATACCTCCTCCTCCTCTCAACTTTGGCTTGTTGATTCTGCTGCCTCAAATCATATGACAAACACATCTAGCATGCTTACCAATGTTCGCAAATATCATGAGAATATCAATGGTTCAACTTGGGAAGTCAAAGATTGCAAAATGGTAGTACAATAACGATTCTGAGATTGGAGATCTTAGACCATGTTCAAACAATGTTTTTTATATTCTCCAAAAGCGATCTGTCACTAAGCTTCTTTTCGGTTTGGTCAGTTAGTAGAGTAATATATATTGATGTGCATTTCTCTCGTTAATATGGTTGTCTTGGTGGTCAGTTAGTAGATAACAATTATGATGTCCATTTCTCTCGTAATGGTTGTCTTGTGCAGGATCAGGCATCGGGGACAGTAATCGCGAAGGGGCCTAAAGTTGGGAGACTATTTCCATTACTATTTTCCATTCCTCATATATCTTCATTTTGTACTACAATTATTAGTCAGAGTGAACTATGGCATAGACGTTTAGGTCATCCTAATCCTGTTATTTTGTCTCATTTATCAAATTCTGGTTTCTTGGGCAATAAAGAACTCCTTGCTAAGATTCCTTTCGATTGTTCCACATGTAGACTTGGTAAAAGCAAAACTCTTCCTTTTCCTTCTAATGGTAGTCGTGCTATCCAATGTTTTGATATAATTCATAGTGATGTCTGGGGCATTACGCCCGTTATTTCTCATGCTCAATACAAATACTTTGTGACATTTATTGATGATTACAGTAGATATACATGGGTATACTTCCTTCATTCTAAATCTGATGTATATTCTGTCTGTTTTTCGACCTGTTTATAGCACCTTATGTTGAGACTCCATTTTTCTTAACTTGTATTTAAGATACGATCTGATTCTGGAGGAAGAAATATATGTCTCATGAATTTCAGAATTTTCTTCGTGGAAAAAAGGGATTGTCATCAACAACGTTCTTGTCCTTATACAACCACAGACAAAATGGAGTTGCCTGAACGGTAAAAATCGTCATCATTTTGGATTGTTAACCCGAACTTTTGTTATATTGGAATCTTCAGTTCGCAGTCTTAAGTTTTGGTTGAAGCCTTATCTACTGCACTTCCATCTAATAATTAGAATGGTTCTCAGGTATTTAAGTCTTGACTCCCGCATATTTTCGTTATAGTAATCAATATCTAATTATCATGATGTTACACACTATTTGTGTTGTCTGTTTGTTTTTGTCATGCTACCTTCTTGCATGAACGTCATAGCAAACGTTCAGCTGCAAATGCTGTTAAAGTGTGCATTTAATGGGTTTAATAATTCCTTCTCTTCTTCTCAAAAGGGTTTTGTTTGCTATGATTCCACTTCTAACAAATTTCGTGTTTCTCGAAATGTTATTTTCTTTCAGCATCAATATTTCTTTCCCAATCTTGCCAAGTCTTCTTCTACTTCTCCCATTCTTCCAATTTTTGAGGATTTACCAATTGTTCCTAATCGATTTAAGCCTGGATTTGTGTATGGAAGACGTCAACCAACGGTGCCTCTTCCCGAGACTGATCCCTCATCTATGTCTGATTCTCCTGCATCTACTCTGCGTCGCTCTACCAGAGTATCTCGACCTCCACGACGGTATGATTTTTCTGATAATCCTGCTGGATATTCTGCCACTTTATCTGATATTTCTATTCCATCTTGTTACTCACACGCCTCCAAGAATGAATGTTGGCAAAAAGCCTTTGGTTTATTCACAAGCCTCCAAGAATGAATGTTGGCAAAAAGCCATGCACTGATGCATCCGGTCCGTGTCTGGGTGAGTTGTATATTGACGAGAACTGCACGTGACAATCAATTACATGGGAAATTCTTTCCTTGCCCTCCAAATTGGTTAAGCCGATTGATAGGAGTGGTAAATGGGTTTATTGCAGTCAAGCTTGTTCTGATGCACTTTGGAAACGTGCGATATAGGAGCGCGCTCGACTCCTTATGGGTGTTCCCGGCGCAATAAGCATAAAGTCGGAGTAGAACTATGAGGAGACCTTTGCTCCAGTTGCAAAGATGACTACCGTCCCGTGACTAATTCTTGCAGTTGCTGGCTTCTCAGGGTTGGCGTCTTCATCAAATGGAGGTGTCAAAAATGCCTTTTTCTTCCATGGTGATGCTTAAAGAAAAGATATTTATAAATGACACTCTCCACTGGGTTAGAACTTTCCCTGCATGTTCAACACATGTGTGTAAGTTAAAAAAGATCTCTGTATGGACTCAAACAAGCTCCACGTGCCCTGGTTTGACAAGTTTCGATCTACCTTAACTCGTTTTCAGTTTTTCGTTTGTGGCAGAGATATACACCTCCACGCCCATGTCGCGTGTATGTATGTTTTGCTTCACCAAGAAGTTCTGGCTGGTTTTTGTTCTAGCTCCTTGTTTATTGTACGATGACATTATTATACTGGCTACTAACACATGCAACGATCCTCAGTCTTCACCAATCTCTTCAAACTTCTTTTAATATGAAGGATCCTTGTCCGCACTTAACATATTTCTTTAGGGCTGGAAGTTCACTATGATTGTTTTCTGGGATATTCTTTGGCATCAACACAAATATACATACAGATTTTGATTACTTTAGCAGGCCTTCAAGATTCATCGCCCAGTTGATACTCCTTTGGAATTAAAATGTGTCTAAAGTATCATAAGTCCAAAACGGAGAAATCTTCTTCCTGAATCCATCATATTATCGGCAATTGTTGGCAGCTTGTGAATTATCTGACTATTACCAAACGGCCCTGATATTTCTTTTGCAGTTCAGCAGGTCAGTGCAATTCATGAGTACTCCGCGTCACTTACATCTTGGTAGCAGTTCGGTCGAATCCTTCGCTATCTTCTTGCACATCTTCTCGAGGTTTATTCTTTCCCTACTGGCTCTCCCGTGACGCGCTTGTGCTTTACAGTGATGCTGATTGGGCCCGGTTGTCCAGACACTCGACGCCTCTAATAACTGGTTTTGGTGATATGTTTCCTTGGTGTATGTTTCTTGGCGATTCTTTGATATCTTGGAAAAGTAAGAAACAAGACCGTGTTTCAAAATCTTCTACTGAGTCTGAATATCGGGCTATGTCCGCTGCTTGTTCCGAGATTGTTTGGTTACGTGGGTTACTTGCTGAAATTGGCTTTCCTCAGCCTCATTCTACTCCTCTACATGCTGATAACACTAGTACCATCCAAATTGCTACCAATCCAGTTTTTCATGAACGTACCAAACATATCGAAGTCGACTGTCATTCTATTCGAGAGGCAGTAGATACCGATGTCATTTCTCTTCCACATGTCTCCACTGCTCTTCAAATTGCTGATGTCTTCACAAAATCTATGACACGACAACGTCATCAATTTCTCGTTGGCAAATTGATGCTTCTTGATCGCCCAGCATCAATTTGAGGGGGGATGTTAGTATAATGTTAGTATACTATTGTATGTTAGTATACTATTGGGTAAATTAATTGACCTATACTAATTGTAAGATAGCTGTTTAAATAACCAATCAAATTAGGAAGCTAATTAAGGCTGTATAATGTCAACCATAATTAGGAAGAACAATGGGCATCAATTAAAGGAGACCATATTAGGCATCAATTAGGGAGCCCAAGTTAAGGCTGTTAATTGCCAAGGCCATAGAAATAGGAGACCAAATGGGCATCAATTTAGGGCTGTAATTTTAGGAAATTTATTCCCAAATTTTGTGGATATCTTCAGTCTTAAATTTTAAAACGCCAAATCAGCTCTTGCTTCGGGGAACAGAGACAAGGAGTCCATGTCCACCACTTCTTTGTGTGTTTTAAGGGCAGTAACAGACCTTTCCAACAATTCAAGTTTTTCTCTTATTTTCTGAGCTTCTAACTCAGAAGCGGTTTTGGAGGGCGTGTCCTCCAAGTTAGGGATAGGGTTTGAGGATGCAGATGCAGCACCAGTCCTTGATTGGAGGCAGCATTATCATTTCCCCCAACTGGAGCCTCATTTCCATTACTACCGCCTAGTTCAGCTAATAGAGCAATTCTTTGGGCAACCAATGCCTCATTCATTTTAGCTTCCATTCTTGCTTCCATTTGTTCTATAAGTGTTCTATGAGGCTTTTGATGTCATTAAAGGGATGCCATAGGTGCCAAGTGGGAGTTGGTGAGGTCCGGTGATAGCACGGTGAGGTCGGTGATAGTACTGTAGGCGTGGCTGGCACTGATGCTGGCACTTGAACAGGGGGTACCTGTAAGTGTAAGGGTAATTTGATTAGGGTACGGTGGGTAGTATTTGTGTATCAGGGTGGCTGATGTGAGGTAGATCGACTCTTTGTCCAACTGTGCATGACTAAAAAGAATGTTTCTGTTTTTTTTTAATGTGATGATATGTCATGAATGCGCACAACATCACATCGTAATCTGTTTTAATGATATGAATCGCATCATTGGGTGCATACAATCCTAAAGGATAGGTTCTATAGGCTATGACACAAATAGAGAATTGGCTTATTAAGGGACCCTTGAACCTTGAGCATGCCTTGAACCTTGAGCATGGATATACCTAAACCATAATGTGAAATAAGAGTTTTCCGCGTGGATCAACGGTACGCAATACTCCATGGGCGCACCCCAAAAGGATTAAGGGACGGTTTGCGGTAAACAGGGAAGGACGCTTTGGCTGTCCGGTCCGACAATAACATCAAAGAGACCTGCCCGATCAGCGCTAACTTTGCTATCACAGAATTCAGAAGTTTGAACCGAAAGAGAAGAAATTCATTTGAAGTTCATTTTTTTAATGCAATGGAGAAAAAGATTTCACCGTGGCGAAATAAATCAACCAAGTTTTTAAATGTCTTAATTCACATTAATTAAGTCCGGATTTTCCATAATCAAGTAATTCTTAAGGAAAGAACACTTGATTCATATTAGGGCACCCTGCAAAACAAAACATAATAAATAATACCTTAAGAAAGGCCGGTTAGTTTTTCACAACAATTGTTAGTCACTTTTTATGCAAAATTGATCTACATAATTAATTTTCCCCCAGTGAAGTCGGCCAAAAGCTGTTTGAACCCCTTTTCCCCAAAAGCATAGGGCATGTGATGCATATGACAGAGAAAGAAAATTGCACGTGAGTAGTGTGAGTCGCCACCTTGTTTAATTATTTTCAGGGTAAACTAGGAAAAGAACGCTCCTAAATGACTCCATTTTAAATTAACCTAGGTTACTAGATTAATTATCCCAATGTGTAAAGGCATGGTATGCAAACCCGAAGATGGAATCCCGAGACTAATTCATGCTGATGAACTAACCGAAAGGATGAATGCTTTTGCGCAAGGTAAATGATGTAATTGGAACCAAAATAAATGTTTTAAGTGATTTCGATGATTTCGGACTTGCACCCGGGGTGAAATCCCCCGAACATGCCTAACGTACTTTCCGTTTGAAATGAAGATTCAAGTCAACGTAGTTCGATAGGCTTCCTTGAAGGGCTTTGAAGGTGTAATGCTTAAATGGCATGAGTGTGTGTATGCTTTTCGTGCATGTTTTTGTTGAGGCATTTTGCCAAAAAGAATGCCGATTAATTCGATTGGCGTTCGTCGCCAAAAATGTTTGATGTTAATGGCTTTTTAGCCAAATGATTCATTTAAGCGATTTGTCGCCAAAATTGTCGATTTGAGGCATTTGTGCTAAAAATGGTTCATTTAAAAGCGATTTGTGTCCGCTTAAAACGATTGATTTTAAGGCCCTTT